GGGGGGGGGGCACACAATGAGCAAAGCTTCTCCCAGTCCCCACCCCCCAAAAATGCCCTGACTTCAGGGAGCTGGTAAACTTAATGCCACTGACCCTGTATGAAGTGGCTGTGAGTGTGTCCACCTAGCAACCTAAGAAAACAGCAGGAGAACTCTGCCCCCAAAGGAAAAGCAGGGTCAATATTAAAACTGACCAATAAGAGAGCAGGGCTGCTTCACAGATCGTCCTCTTCCACCTGTGGGGAGGACGACTGCCCTCAAGGTGTCATTATTCAAACCTGCACTGCATAAATTAGCGAGCAATGATGCACTCAGTTTAAAATTTGCATGTAATAAAGTTACCTCACTCCTATTTATACACTGGGACCATGGGCGTAAAATACGGGAGGTGGGGGTGTAACCCCCCCTCCCCCAATAAAAAAAACAGGCCAATGCATGCCCCAGGACCCCCCTAAATGGGTGGAGACCTTAACCCAGTGGTTCAACCCAAAGTTACGCCGCTGACAGGGATATGTATCAATACCGCACAACAGCAAGAATATTTAAAGAAGCAATTCTTAACAAACAACTCAACACCCGTCAATAATGTTCAGTAACATCTAAATCACCATTTGTACTCCGTGTTATTAATTAAAAATGATCAAAAGTAACTCCACAATCTGATTTTTCTGTCCCACGTTCAGAGGAACAGTGACCCCGGAAGGAAAGTATCCAGAAAGAAATTACAGTTAAATCATTAACATTAATTGGTCAGATATACCCAGTAACTGCTAGGAAAGAAACTATAATCATACAATCATTTTTTTATACATTCGACATAGTTATAGTAAGGGATGTACTATTCCGATGTTACATTCGAAAAGTCTTTTTTCAAATTTGAGAAAATCTGGCTTCGAACAAATTAATTAATAACGAAATAACTAACCCAAATCCTAATGATGAATGCTGAGCACTAAGGACAGCACTCTGAAAGGGATGTCACTTCTTTACTGCGAGACCGCGACACTCGCACGCTTCTGGATCCCCGGGATACCCGCCAATCAGCTGACCTCGCCGCGAGTCACGTGAGTCAGCCAGGCTCGCCGCGAGTCACGTGAGTCAGGTCATATGACCAGGCGCTGTTTTGCTTTTCGATGTTTTGTCGCAGTCCCGGCCGGGCTGAAAATGGCGGAGAGTTCAGAACGGCAAAGCCTGATGGATGGAGAGGGTGACTCCTTCCCGAGCCGCGATGGCGGCTCCTCGAATTCAATGTTGGCCATATGCGATCCGACTCGACTGGCCCATAGATTCGTGGTATTGCTGTTAATGTGCTTTTTAGGTTTTGGTGAGTTGAGCAGCCGAAAGACGCGACGGGCGGGTCACGCCACTTTAATAACTTTATAGAACACAGTATATCCAGGTCCCCGCTGTTGGCTTCATTTGTACCAAAATGAAAGATTTTTATTTATTAAATAACACGTATAGGTAATGAAGTGTAAAGTGCTTAAGTAACGAGATGGTGGTATTGGCTACTTTTTACATATGAGTTTCTGCCTTGGCTGACTAAATTTGGTGGTCTGAGGCGGCGCCTTTTCTATCAAGCATTGATATTTGCGTGTAAATGTGCTGTTTGAATTTTGGTTTACGGGAAAGCTGCAGTTTCGCCCGACATTTTCTTCTATCTCTGTCAGGGAGTTATTTCTGCTATGACAACCCGGCCGCCTTGCAGACGCAGATTAAGCAGGTGAGCTGTCCGCCGTGTCAATACGCGGCCGATAACAGATACGTGTGAGTCATTTCTGCCTGTCCAAATGTAATGTGTCCGTGCGCTTATGCAGACACACAACTGTATCACGTTCAAATACAGGATTCCCTAATATTTTTCTATTGCCATTGATTTGCCAGGGGTGAAGTTTGGCCTGTGTATTTTGCAGGCTGCATAACTTGATAATTGCCCGGCAACTGAAACACGGCACTTACACGTTGAAGTACCATTCAAGTCTCTTCTCTTTGTTGGTTCACTTCTCCCTTTCCTCTTTTGAAAATGGCTCCCTTTTTCTTCTCTTCCGTAAATTGGAACAGCTTCTGTTCCAGGAATTATTTTACATGATTTATTATTTTCAAAGCATGAAAATGGTCTGCAGTATTTTTTTGTTTAATTGGAAGTGTCACCTGCTGACAGCAGCTTAAAAAAATAATTGCACTTTCATGGTGCATTTGCAGTTATTTTATAGAGTTGTTGGAATGAAGCCTTTACTTTACCAACCTGGACTAGCTGAATTAAATGCACAGTTTTGTAAAACCTCTACCTGTTGTTACACCCCAAACCCTTCATAACAGGACATGGAGCTGAATACGTCCCAGTTCATGCAGCTGTACGCCTGGTACTCCTGGCCCAATGTCGTCCTATGCTTCCTGGGAGGATTTTTATTGGACAGAGTCTTTGGCATTAGGTTGGTTGAGTCCTGTTCCCTTCAAAATTAGAAGAATTAGAACTTAGTGATCAATGGTCATTGTCAACACACCACAGCACACAGTGCGCAACAACGAAATGTGTCCTCTGCATTTGACCCATATGTGACTTTCGTGACATAGCAGGGGGCAGCTAATTCAGCGCCTGGGGAGCAGTGCTTGGGGGCGGTACCTTGCTCAGGGTACCTCAGTGGTGACTTGCTGGTGGGGGATTCGAACCAGCAATCTTTCAATTACAAGTGCGCTACCCTAACCATCAAGCCACCACTGCCCACTGCAGAAGTGCAGTCTGTTAAAACAGCCATACTGCATGTAATCCCCACTTACTGAATTACAGTTATGCTTCTCCAAACTCCATATGATATGTATGTATTTAGTGAGGATAATACAATTATATATGGCAGATAATTGAGATATGGGCTCCAGACCAGTCCAGGCCATGAGCAAAATGACTCCTCCTTTCAAATAAGATAATTTGTACATACAGCAGTTTTATTGCTTAATATTGCAGACTTAATTATCTTCAGGACTGTGGGTGACACCTTTCGATTGAGTTAGCACTACCCTTCTTTCTTTCAGGCTGGGGACAGTCATCTTCTCCATCCTTGTGTGTGTTGGACAGGTTGGTAAGCCTGGTGGAAATGTTTCAATCCACTGGTCATGCTGGGGTCGCTGGTACATCCAGAGCGGCGTGCAGATCGTCCTCGGAAACCTCAGCCCGTTTCTGCTGATGAATTTTTGAATGTTTTCTTGGAAGTTTAACGTGCATTTAAAAGGCATTTCTTTGTCCTCTTGAGGTCATATTTGCTGCTGGTGCACTTTTCAATGCTTTCTGGTTGATGGTATTTGGACGTTTTGTCTTTGGGTGAGTATTTGATGATTTTTCATTTTATTTTTATTAATTTTGATCAGGCTGTCTCTCTTTTAGCCCTTCATTAATGCACAATGCAAAATTTATAACGTTGGCAAGGAGTTAAGTGGTCATCTGTTTTTAGTTTCAAGACATTTGTTAGCTTTCATATCATGATGAAATCATGTTGCGCACAAGTAGCTCTCACCTGTCTTCAGTCCAGTCAAAGTTTTATAATGTCCGTGTGAATGAAGAGTGACACTGTGCACAGACTGTACAGACTGATGAGAACTTGCACCTGGTGTATTTTAAATGCATGTGATTTTATATGCAACCAACCAAGCACAGAATGTAGCTTTTGCGATTCCTTTCTGCACTTCAGCATTGGAGGCGAGTCCTTGGCTGTGGCCCAGAATACCTATGCTGTGAACTGGTTCAAGGGGAGAGGTCTGAACCTTGTGTTCGGTCTTCAGCTCAGTATGGCGCGTCTGGTACAAGCACTGAGATGATTATTTCTCCTATTACTAAGCATATATTTTACAAATGAAGCAGTAAACTTCCTTGTGTTTTTTTCACTTGAGGATCTAGTTTATTACAGTTCATTAATTGTTTCAGCTTTGTGATAGATAAGGCTTGTTAATTCGACTTCCTCTTGTTTAGCTCTTGTTTGTCTCAGCTTGCTGGTTGAGGTCCTGTCTCGTGCTTTCCAGGGTAGCACCGTGAACATGAACGTGATGGGACTGGTGTACCACCGAATCTGGGACTGGAGGGGGTCCACGGGCTACTCCACGCTGGGCGTCGTGCTGATGATTGGTAGGTGCCGGAGCCTCTAGGGCAGGGTGTCTGTTAACTGACCTTGATTGTATTTGAAATGCTTTGGAAAAGTAGTTACTTTAACGCTTCTGCAAAGAAAGGGAGACCAAAAGTACAGCATAAAAAGTAACCGAGTATGGTAACTTGATAACTGGGTGATCTTTGGTCGTTTTGGTTTTGCACTCCTGCCCCATTGACCTTGAACAGAAATATGAGATGGAGCATGATTAGTTTTCTTTGAGCTATTTTGCTTCGTTTCTCTGTAATAGGAGTTGTAACACAAGTGCCGTAGTGGTACTTTCTGAATTGGGTTAAGGTTTATTTGGTAATATACTTATTTATGGCCCTGTCTTTCTCAGGCCGTGACACCTTGTTGTGAAATGGATCGCTGTCACTCGGCTCTGCAGAATTTCTTCTGGTTCAAAACCTTTCCAGAAAAAAGACTCATAGATCAGCTGCTTCAAATGTCTTTTTACACATGTACATTGTATTCGCTTTGCAGTATTTTACATAAAATGTTATTCTGTACAGTACGAAACTGCAATTAACGCGCAACCTGAGTGATAATGCATAGGACATAAATGTATACTTTGTTTCTGTCCCCTTCCCACTCAGCGTCCGCTACATGCGTGTTCTCCTTGGCTTGTGCGGTGATCCTTGGCTACCTTGACAAACGGGCTGAACGACTTTTAAACAAAGAAGAAGGCAAAACCGGTGAGTCTTTGATTTAAAGAACCATGCAGAATAATCCCTGCATCCAAATTCCCCACAATCCTTTGTGATGGTCATGGTTAGAGAAGGAAATGCGGGGTCTATTTGTACCAGTAAGTCCTTGGTTTAGTGTCTGGTTCTTGAGGTGGAAATGCCGACCAGAGGTCAAGTTTCAGTTTTGCATGCATGGCAGTTTTAATCTGCTGACTGGGTGCATTAGGGCCTTTTGCTTCCCCAGTTATGGTGATACTGTGGTGTTTTTCTTTTCCTGTCTTGTAGGAGAAGTGATCAAGCTGTCTGATGTGAAAGACTTCCCCCCCTCTCTCTGGCTCATCTTCATCATTTGCGTGGGCTACTATGTGGCTGTCTTTCCCTTCATTGGGCTTGGCCAGTGAGTCCCTCGTTCTCGTCTGTCTTCCGGCCTTTTTTTTGACCAATTCATTCACTGGTTCTACAGCTGGATGGTGATTGTCCAGTTTATATAGACAGTAACTATGGTAGATATCGGCCTTCATTTTTAATTGTTTGGCATTTCTTAGTTTCAAATCCAAGTGGTTATTGGTATACGTAAAATGTCCTCATAAAACTGGATGCGTAACGTGTGTGTTAACTGAGGCTGAGCTGACCTGGTTTTTAGATCGGAAAATTACCCGATAAGACGAGCGAGGACTGCTCAGCAGGAAAACAAAAAAGAATCAATACAACAGAGGCATATTGTCAAGTTCAGACTGTCAGATTATTAACTCTCGCTGTCTTGTGGAAACAGAAATATCCCTCCCCATGAGGTACTAGACAAAAGCATACAATTCTCCATCACCAGGCTGTGGATTTGCATTTGATAATTGTGGGGCCAGCATTTGTGCAGGGTCTGCTAAGGTGCTGGGGTGGGGGCAGGCGAATGGTACTGGCAGGATTAATCATTTCTGTTTGCAGACTGAATGGAAACCTAGCTGTAAGATTCACATTATTGACTCCCCCCTCCAGGGTTTTCTTCATTGAAAAGTTCAATTTTTCACCAGCTGAAGCAAGTGCTATTAACAGGTATCTCTTTTTTTTTATTCATTCATTCGTTCATTATTTTATACCCTCTGCCATTGACTGAGGTGTGCAGTACGTCTTTTAACGTGACGTAATGGGGTTTGCTTAAAATCCACAAACCTTTCGGGATCCGGCAGTTGGAATTTGTGCCAAGAGACGTTTCTGCTTCTAAACGGGAGTCTAGTTTCTCCTTTTACTTGCTTTTACTGAGGCTTTTGTCCGAAACACTGTAGATTGTGATTTGGCGTTAAGTGCTATTTGCACAGGCGACATCATGGACCCTTGACCCCTCTCCTTCTGCCAGTGTTGTGTACATCATCTCAGCCCCAGCATCGCCCATCCTTGGCTTCATGGTGGATAAGACTGGGAAGAACATACTCTGGGTGGTGATGGCTGTTGTCGTCACTCTGGCTTCCCATATGATGCTTGCCTTCACCTTCTGGAACCCCTGGATTGCTATGGTGACCCCATATCTGTATTTAACCCATTTCTCCTGACAGCGTTTAAAGTCTTGGCTTGTGCCAGTGAAGTTACATGTACGTGCCTTTCTATAGCCCATTGTGTCAGGGCAGGGGTGACTAGGTGTCCCAGGGATGTATGACAGAATTGTGGCCCCTTATTCATTAAACCATTGTTTGGAGTAATGAAACATCATTTCTAGAAAGAAGATAATTATTTGGCCTTGCAAGATGGATGAGGTGATCTTTCTGAAGTTGAGGTAGACGTTTCCATATGTGTGTTGACATTAGATGCTCTCTGTCACCCTCAGAGCCTGCTGGGTGTGTCCTACTCTCTGCTAGCATGTGCGCTGTGGCCCATGGTTGCCTATGTGGTCCCAGAGCACCAGCTGGGAACTGCCTATGGATTGTAAGTGTTGCCCATAAATCCATTGCTGGTTTCTCTGATTAAACTTTGCTGTGGCCCAGTTGTCGTCAAGTGGTCGATGTTATTTCCGGCCGCTGCCTTGGTTTCGTATGCAGTAACTGCATACGCTTTCTCCCCTGTCTGCAGCATGCAGTCCATACAGAATCTGGGTCTGGCTCTGATCTCTATGGCGGCGGGGGGCATCCTTGACAGCCGGGGTTACCTGTTCCTTGAGGTCTTCTTCTGTGCTTTTGTCTGCTGTAAGTATTCCACATGGCCAGGTGGACATCAGTGGCCAAGCTCTTCCCTGACCTGCAGGCATTCGTCCTAGCAAAGTTTGATTTCCCTGCTGCAGCACATCTACAGGACATTTTCACTTAATGGTGTAAAATTCATTTGTGATAAAGTCTTTTTACTCTAGTGATTAGACCTGCTATTTCCACTTCTGTGGAATGACTAAATATTCTCCCCTCCCCCACTAGTGGCCCTGGTTGCTGTTGTGGTGCTGTACTTCCTCAATCTTATCAGAGGTAAGGGCGAGAATTGGAATGTCATCATTCTGGAACCATTTAATTCCCATTTTCTGTTCTGATTTTAAAGTCCCTGTTCTCTCATGCAGGAGGAGAACTGAACTTGTCACCATCCGCCAGGGCCGAACTCCACAAGGACAGTCCGTCTGAATCAGAGTGAGTGGAGCTATAACTTTAGATGGTTGGTGAGCAGTTGTGAATACACCCCCTTGAGGCCAGGTGTGTTTGTGACTGTTGTTGGGAGTGTGTCATCCTTAGCTTGGTGAATTGGACCTTTTGAAACCTTGTCATGATGACAGGTTCTGGTGTCATAATGCTGCATGACCTGCTGAGCACTACTTCAGATACTGCCCCTGGTGGCTGGTGCTGTATGCTGCAGGTGCACACGTGCCAGTTTTCGGTTTTCTGGGTTGTGTATCTCTGAGCATGCTCAGCTGTGTGCGCTAACAGACCCTCTGCTGTAATGTGTTGCAGGTGATGACACTGAGTCGTGAGGCTCAAGCTGGCTGTCACCACTGACCTGAGGAGCCTCAGCCGTTGTTTACCCGGGGCTCCTCCCACAGCACTGACAGACCGCCCACATTTTACGCAGACTCCTCCCACAGTGCACATGGGGCTCGCAGTGTACTCTCCTCCCAGGGTTGTATAGAGAGCTCTGCTCCAGTGCCACCTTTTAATTGTCCCTCATACACATCGCCCTGCAAAATTTTTACGACGTATTGGTCAGTTGTTGCACTATCTACGTTTCATTTCTAGAGATGCAGACAAAGAGCCAGGTAATAAGGACGAAAGTTGCTTTCCTGAGTTGTGTAAATCGGCTCATTGTACCCTGGCCAGAGCTCTGCCAGTCCCTGGGTGGTGACGGGTGGGCTTAAGGCACTTGCTTCACTGTTATGGGCTCTACTGGAATGCCACTTTCCTCTTAAGTGTGTTTGTGTGTGTATGTCCTTGTTGAGTGATCTGTTGTACAAGCAGCCCTTTTCTGAATGAGCATCCATTGATTTTTATTTTTTTATTTTATTTTTTTATCGTGTCAGATCTTAAAGGTTCTTAAAATGCGTATGTGATGGTGGCATCATGCATTCAAAACAGTTCAATCAGCAAATGTCTGATTTATTTATCTGTAACTGAACATTAGGCTGGGTCACAGTGTTCATTTAATGGATGGGTCTCCCTGTTGTCTTGTTACTTTTACAATGTCAAGCTGCTTGCTGTTCATCTCTCTGCTGACTTCAGCATTGAATTGCCAGCTGCAGTTAAAGGTCTGTTCATGCCGGAATCCTGTTCCAGGCCGCCTGCGATTCTATTAATGCCATTACTGGGTGGTAACAGCAGGCTCTATCTCTCAGTCACTGATGTTTGGGCATTAGGTGTTACAAAGGATGCTGGGAATGTTCTTTATTCCAAACGTGGACTCCTGAGCTGTCCTGGTAACGGCCATGTGCTCCAGACCAAACTTTTAAAAATTTCAGACTGTGAGCTTTGCGGCAAAAACTCCTGCAATACTGAACATGTTAAACTGCTTCTACGTTTGCTTTGAACAGGGGGGTCTCCTATCTGATTTGAGTGGTCTCTGCTTTTTTTTTTTAATCCCTCAACATAATGTGTGCCCAGTTTTTAAAATTAACTACATAAAAGCACAGTTTTTACTAAACGCATCCATGATAAGGTGCCTGCTTTGTAGTACGACTATGATCTTATCAAGAACACCGTCAGGAAAAAAAGTACTAATTTGTACCTTTGCTTGTCCCTGGGGCTATACCCTCAAGGGTCTGCCAATTGTACCGTAGCTGTAGGTAAATGTACCATTTAGTCTAATTAAAGCTACAGAAATGGACTCTGAGGAACATCCCCAAGGTACTAAAATGTTCTCATAGTCCATTTCTCTATCTTAAAAGGTACAATTACCTACAGCTAAGGGTACAATTGGCAGACCCTTGAGGGTACAGCCCAAGTGACAAGCAAAGGTACAAATTAGTACTCCCCCCCCCCCCCCCCCCCCCCCCCCCCCCTTTTTGTCCTGGGATGAATAAGCTTAACTGATTAGTTTGTACCTGAACAGAATACCAAAAAGGGACTTAACTTGGAATGTCAAAGCAATTTCAATCATTGATTTTTCTTTAATTGGTACGCTGGCAAATATAGCATGACCTGTAACATTGTACTGTTTGTACTGGGGTCCTCCAACGCACAGGGGAATTTGGGGGTTGGCGGCAGGATTGGTACTCCAGTCACCGGGGGAAAAAAACAGCTCTCATTGGTCCATTCGGACTAGTGTGGTGCTGAGGTATCGCCTGTCACATGGCTCCACTCAGGTTCTCATCCCTGAGGTGGTTTGTCGTGTGGTGGGTGCGGCAACACGCTGTAATCAGTGTCGCCCCCCCCCTTACCCTACTATAACATTCACTACAGGTTGGCTACCTCATTTATCATGAAGCCTGAGATGTTAATGAATGAAGCAACTATCTGAAACAAAGCACCATTTTAATCATGTTAAGATGCTTAATGATGATAATGTTAAAATATCAAGTAGATTTGCTTCTAAACAGAGTTGTCTAATGGATCAGTTATTGCATAATTTGTACCTTAAAAATGTAAAGAATAGTGTACTTTATCAGATGTATTTGGAATATGAACTGTGCTTATGTTAACTTGCTGTTTGGCTAATTCAAATATAATTTTTACTGTTTTGTGGGTACAGAACATTTTTTAGGTGACCTTTCTGACAAAGCAATAAAAATATCAATGAAACATCCACAGTTGTACTGTTTGTCACAAGCTAATTACTAAGAGTTCTGAATAAGGCTCTTGTGTTGGGATTTGTGTGTGTTCTGAACACCTTCCAGGTGTGTAGGTGCAGTGATACCGTGAGTGGGGGTTCGGGTGGGTTGAATTCCACGCTGTCTTTCAGGGAGGTAAGACGTCTCCAGAAGAGGAAGGTGGATGAGGATGAGCTTGCACGACTGAAGCCCTTGTCTGCTTTTGGACTGCGGAACCGCTACCTGTCCAGATTGGGAGCGCAGGTAATCCTTTAGTGCCCTGTCAGAACTGTTCTCAGCTTGCTCTCCTAGTTTATCATCCTGTCAGGAAAGGTGCTGGTGTTACATTTTTTGGGCACATTGTCAGATTTATCTCTTGCAATGTCCAGTTCAATAATGACTGAAATGGCCTCCCTTCCCTGAGCAAAGATTTAATGTGAGCAGCATTCGTAATTCCTACATTCTTTGCATGATGCCTGTCTCTTCCATTCTGATATTAATTTTTGTTTAATGTCCTTCCACCACCTTTAGCTCCCTGATCACTACTGTAGCCACCTTTCATCCCTAGCACATCGCAGTGTCCTTAAATAACACTCCCTGTGTAGCCCGTCCTTGAAGTCAAAGCTTCAGCTCAAAGCGACCATCCACACACCCTGCATCAAGCCTTTCAGAGAACCTCAGTTTATGCTGTACACAACCTTGGTTTGTATCAAAAGTAGTTTTTCCTTGATCCTGAATTTATGGCCAATTGATCATGAACAGCAGTCGGCTTGAAATGCTTGGAAAAAACATGTGATTTCTAGTAATTGAAGAGCAAAATGATAAAATGTTTATTCTTGATAGGAAAGCAAAGTTTATTTTAATGTACATAATGGACTAATAAGGTAACATAACATGTAACATAAATTGAAATGATTTGCATGGAGCGGAATTATAGTCCTGTATTTCTGTGGGGATGAAGTTTACGTATATAAAATTTATAAATACATTATGTGCATTTAAGTATTTTCAGGAACATTTAAATGTGCCTTAATGCTTTTGTTAAAATATGTATTCAAGTGTAGTATCATTATTAAAGCATTGTGGTAATATTTATGGGGTGTCAAACTCAAGTGTTGAATTGAAATGGTCTTTAAACAGGAACTAACTGGCACAGTTGCAAGGCTGTTATCCTAAGGTGGGGCTGGGATTCAGGCTGCTTGGCGATGGGCTTCAAGCCCAGGTTGTCGCACTGTATGGATATTGCCAAATACCATTGTCATTGTGAGGAATTTGTTCTGTTTCAGTTAAAATGTGTAATTACAACAACACACAGAAAGCTTTTCATATGTTACATTTTTAAAACAAGGCTTGAACTGTGCCTATCAATATTATTTTTATTCCTTGGTAATTGTGATTATTTGTATACAACAGAAGAACATTCTTGAACTATTCAGTTTTTTTTCAAATAAAAGTTTTTCAGTAACTAAATGTTCTCACACTTTTTACATTCCTTTCCTATGTCAGTTTAAATTGATTTATTTTAATGTATAAATATTTCTGCCAATGCATATGTAGTTTTCCGTCCATTTCACTTCATTGCCCATGGGACACTACAAATGGACTTCAGCTGAGTGTAGCAGTTCCAACATTCTTGAAGACTGCATCCAAACATGTACCCCGTGACATCCCATAATTGATATTTCCATGTTCGCCGTCTGTTTCGCTTTGCACAGATGGGTGGACCTTCTTCTTGAACAGTTGACTGAGTAGTACTTCAGGGTATTTCTTGGAGCTCGCAAAATAGAGAATTGGGTTGATGCAGCTGTTGAGGCTTACAAACGGCCGCCATATTACATAGGCTTGTATCATCCGCTGGAGAGCATTGCAATTGTCGGTCAGGTATGTGCGCAAAAAGAGATACATCGTTTTAGTAATATAATGGGGCACAAAACAGATACCAAAAAGGAGACACACAATTATTATGGTGCGGGCAGACTTTCGACGCATCTCTTGTCCCACCTGAATGTTAGCCTGAGTCTGAAAAAGTGTTTTAACCATTGAACAGTAGCAGGTGAAAATGACTAATGTAGGGATGAAGAAGCAGACCACAGTGGTAAACAAGCCATAGGGCAGGTACTGGTGAAAATCCCCAGGACTTGTCATGTCGAAGCACACGGTTACATTTTTGATTATACCAGTGTGTGTAAATGCAAAGGTAGGCAATAGCTCGGTTGCCACCACAATCCATACGAAAGTAGAGACCATAGCGGCGATACGTTTGGTCTTGTATACTATCGCTCTGACTGGGTAGCACACACCCAGGAACCGATGCACACTGATGCACATAAGAAACAACATACTGCTGTGCAAGTTTGCAGAGGACGAGAATCGTACCATTCTGCATGCGGTGTCCCCGAAGGGCCAGGCGTCCTCCATTGCGTAGCTGATGATTAGGAGGGGTAATGTCAGAACGTACAGCAGGTCAGCTACAGACAGGTTCACCAAGTAGATAACCGAACAGCTCCAGCTCTTGGTTGTGCAGCAGACCAGACAGAGCAGTGTCCCATTCAACACCATCCCCAACGCAAACACGAAGCCGTACATCAAGGGTGCAAAAATCTTTCTGTACTCGTCTGGCACCTGGCAGTATTCAACATTCTTCCCATTCACATCTTCATATAATTCTGGCATGTGGATAAAGTGTGTGGTAATCAAAATGCAGTTCTGATTTAAAACCGTTATGGTGTGATGAAAAATAATGCAAAATTGTTATTATTATTATTATTATGTGATCCTCCAACGAAGGCCGGAATATGAGATTGAAGTAATTCCAAGACTTGTTCCAGAACAAATCAATGGTCTTTTAAACGCTGTGAGGTTTTTATCTCTCTGCGTTAACGCCCCTTAGCGAAGTGTGTTTAAATATTGTCTTAACAGCATTGGTGCTCCATGGCAGAACAAGAACGACAGCTGAAACGTGAAGAATATGAAGTCGATTCAGCGTAATTTTAAACACTGCCGTCGGATAACCGAAAGTTACCGAAAAAAGGAACTTCTCTGAAACATTTATTCGAGTAGCAGAACTGATATTTTAACTTAGGTTAAACACATTTTTTTTTGTTATACGCAAATATGATTTGCAAATAGTATTTTGCATATTCATAGGCGAGTTATATATCTGCCAGAACACCAGCATGCGATATAAGTGTTGCATATCCAAGTGTGAGAAGTCGATTCTTTTTTGCAGCCTTTTTGAAGAGTGCGGGCGAGCTGTTTGTTTACAATTTGCCACTTATAGTTCTCATTTTTGCGCTTTTGGGGGTACAGGACACAAAACTTTATCCGATTAATGGTGGTTGCATTAGTGGTGTTTTCATACCACAAAATGTTCATTTTGCCGCAGACTTTTAAGAGTCGTTGTAAATTTATCAATGACTCTTCGGGTACTTCGGCTAGACTGGCATTTCCACCCACTCTTTTTGTAAAAAATGGTAATAGCATTCATGCTAATCTATAGTCTAAATGAGTCCCCTCGACCCACAGCTTCAGTGCAGTTATGAAGATTAAGGGGCCGTTGGCTGGCGCACAGGCCTCCCCATTTTTGAATGACGATTTATAGAGCGCCCAAACATGTCCGCAGCTCGTTTTGCATGGATCATCCTGATAGAGATGTATATCAGATTTAAATAACTGAATTTCATGCGTGACATCGCCACTGTTTTACCCCGTATCTCTGTGTTATATAAAAAATCCTTGCAGTATTTTTTAAGATGAACTTCTGCTCCTCCCTGCAGGGCCATCCATCTGGCGGCGGGCGGGAGATTTAGCTGCAGCGCGCGGACAGCCTCGCGGCGGGGGGCTCTCTTGCTCCTCATTACCACTAAGGTATCAGGCGGGCAAACGAGGGCGCGCGTGTCTTCCGTGTTCTGTGAGTGCCAGGAAAATAACACCCATTACCTGCGAATAAAGGTAAATACCCATAAGACGTTAACAAGGCTTTTTAATGCCGTGGGTTTGGTTCCTCAAATAATTCCTTTTCGACTTGTGTAATTCGTTGGTAAATTGAGCGGTGATAATAGGCGGGCATTGTAAAGGCAAGATAGCAGAGCTATTATGAGAAACACAACGTTAATCGATCGCACGCGATAAGATTATTAAACTGGACGCGAGACATTTCAATGGGCCTTTCAGACGGGAGGAGCTGTCCTTTCAGCA